AATATCTATTAAAAGAAAACAGTATGAGAAAAATAAACACCCTCCTCAAACAAAGCGTTTTTCTTACAAAAAAGACTAGAATTAATTCAATCCAACAGCAAAAAAGGTACATACCCCACAGCATGCTGAAACTGTATTATTAACACTACAGGGACATTGATAATTAAAGTCATTCAAATGAGATAAGAAAATATGTGAATCAGCATATTAGGAGGAGTAAAAGGAAGTGTTGAAGTATTAAGACAGTTTGCAAATCATGCATATTCCTTATTAACCAAATCAGGTATCTGCAGCACAAAAGGTCTGATAGGTAAGGTTTAGTTTGTCTGCCTTTAAAATACTGTGAGTTCTGTTGATAAAGTAGCACCTCATTTCAACAATAATTTTAAAGTCAACTTAGCCATACTTCGCAAATAAATAAATAAATAAATAAATAAAAAAGGAAGCACTGATGGTTCTTCCAAAATTTTGCTTAAAAGCAAAAGTATTTTCTCTACCCTTACTTCATATAGTGATAGAACAGCAAATGCAAAATGGGGAAAATTTCCAATACTGCATTTTTCAAATGACTCACCTGCAGCCTTCAACTGCTCTGAAAAACAACTAAGGTCACTTTGAACCCAAACCTTGAAACCAGCTTATGCATTACTAAGACTACCTCATCTACTAGGGTAAAAACAGAAAAATTCAAACAAGTAGTTGTAGTTCTAAATGAGCTCCAGATTCCGAAAACTTGGTTATCATCTCTTTATATCCCCTCTCCCCCTAAAAAGGCTAAATTCCCTACTACATCAGCTGATGTGCAGCATTTTGAAATTATGTTCAATTACTGTAAGCTTACCCATCCAACACTTCTGCTTGATATGGTATTTCAAGTTTGGAGTAGCTCTTCTCTTTTGCTTTAACAGTTATTTTCCCAGAAGACTGTGATGCTTTTTTTGCTTTTGATGCTATACACACAAGAACATAAGAAGTTTGTTAAAGCAGACCAAAAAAAAAAAAAAAAAAATTATCCATTAGGTTAGATTAGCATGAATGGAAGAATAAAAGCACAGAGCGAGCCCAGAGATAAAGTATCATGGAAGAGAAAAATGGATCTTAAGGAAATTTCAATAAGCAACTGACATGGAATAAGTCTAGGAAGTAAGAGATCCGAGTTCTGAACTCCCCCGCCCTTTAACACCGGTTAGTTGACCTGCCTGACTTAGTAAGCTTATCTATGACAGGAAAGCCTGGTTGTTCCTGTCAAATAAATAACTTGGACATGTCCTGAGGATAATTCATGTCTCAGGTGAGCTGAATTCCCCAGTTGAAAGAGTATGGAATACAACTATCCCTCCACTAACAGAACAGAAACTTGAAATGGCTGGGCTCCTCACCTAGAGCTACCAGTTGAGCAGGACTTTGGGCCAGGAATGAAGCAACATTTTAATAGCCAAGAAGTCAAAGCCATGCTAAATTTTACAGAAATAGAATCAGAATCCATGTAAGAACCCAAACTACGCAAGCCCCAAGAATAAAGCTCACAGGACTGCTCCAGGATCACAGAACAAGCAATGCCAGAAAAGTGAAGGGATTCACATATTAGTTAGGAGAAACCTCCAGCCTCTAAAGCCCCTTCATGTAACAGGATAGATAAAACAGCAAATATTTAGGGTTGGCTGCTTCACTGAAAAAAATTCACCAAGTCAATCCCTTAAACACATTAAGCAGCTTGCCTGGGTATTTTTCCCCAACTACCATTCCTTCCAAGATCTACCATAAGTTAGACAGTAGGTCCTCGTATAACAATTCCCTACAGCTTCAAAATCTGAAGATATTACCACCTCAGGTTGATGGAATTTGGCTATTTCAGAATTTATTTATAGGCTAAAACATACTTCATTCATCTTACAAACCACAAGCTACTAAAAATCTCAAGTGCTCATCAGTAAATAACACTAATAATAAAAATCAATCCTCTCCTCTCTATCCATACAACTTCTAAAATTAGGTCTACCTGAAATGAAAAACATTGCATCTATATAAACTTCCATTTCTAAGCAATCCCAGCAGAGAGACTTATAGCACCAACTGGTATCATAAAGCAGTAACATCTGAGTAGGTCAACACCATTCTGACAATTGATTAAAATCTCTATAAAAATGGAGGTGCCTTTCTACAAAACGTCAGCATATTTACAGTACACTATGTAGGAGGGAAATGACCCAGCACTTCTTTCATAAAGATATACATGGAAGTTGGTATCAGTGTACATAACATATCTTTGTAGGAAAGGTACCAGTAAAAAGGTTTTTCCACATTCACCTCCCTTTTTCTTTAATATGAATTCAACATAGCAAAATAAAATAAGCCAACTTTCACAGTAAGGTTCTCAAGAGCACGACAGAGACACCTATTTCCATGGGCATTCCAACTAAAATGTAATTTTTTATTTTTTTTTAGAAATAAGATTGTGGATTCCTTTTTAAACTTTGGAAGGATTGAAGGGCAACTCAAGGGATATACTCTCCTCTAATATATATTATTGTGAGGAACACGTCCTGTTTCGCTAGGATTTCTCCAAAACAAATGCCTATTTAGACTAACAATACATTTTAAATAATCTGTGTCTTAACATAAGAATCCTGCTTATGTTTAATAGAAATCTGATGTTCAATTTTTATATACACGCATAGAAGATTGCTTAAGAATTCCTTCTCTTCTCACCAGCATTTACCAGTCTAAGTTACTTGCTGATTATGATCAGAGATGACCCCCTCAGAAGTAACTTAAGTTAGAAGAACTGTAAGCCCTTTCCAGGTAGAAAAATTCCATTTCCTTCTAAAAATTACAAATAACATTTTGTTAAGAGAGTGGAAAATAATTCATGAAGTTTCAGCAAGTTTTAAGAAGCACTTGACAAGTTCCAAGAAGAGAGGAGCAGTACTTACCATCAAAGCTAATACTTGCAACTTTGGTATATTTACTTTCAGAGGCTTTTAACGTAACTGGCTTGAAATGTACTGTTATAGCTTCGTTCTGTGGTGTAGGTCTAACACTCTGCAAACAATCAAAATATGAAGCACCTGTAAATTTATCATTGTTAACACACTGTGCAGCCTTCACGTATCCTTCAAAGTGATCCAACAGCAACTAGTTTTGGCTGGGTTCTTACAAGTCTGTCTTTCCTATAACAAAGCAGCATTATAAGAGGCTTTAAAATTTTTTTCAGGTCCTGCAAATTACTGAGTCTGTATGCAGGGAAGTGGGCAATAGAGAATTCTCCTTGGGAGTGTTGGATGAAGTGACAGTATGGACAGAAACATGTTAATAAAATAGAAAACAAGCTTTTTTAAATAAAGATTTATTTTTTACTCTTAATGCTGCAGGGTTACAATAGCTAGACTGTTTCTGGCACACTCATTAACAAAGCTGTAACTGACTTGTGTAATTACTGGTGGTGATACAGACATCTACCTTGTCTCCGATCGCATGCTAAGTCTGCAGAGCAGCCACAGGGGAAAAAAATTATTAATTGTATAGAGAATGGTTCTGTAAATCTGAGATGACACTCATTCTATACCAATATTTTACAAGATCACCTTTTGTATCTGAGGATTACAGTTTTAAACTAAATGGAAAAGGTGAATTGGGCATTACTGGACTAGTAATTGTGTCTGTTATTAGCCAGAGCTGATTTGTATGTACTCATTGCTATGCAGCAGGATTACAGATTCCACGTCAGTATCTGAAGACTCTATAAAGATTGCTAGCAAAATCTTTATCTAGATTCCATAGAGAGAAACTGGGCGTGGAGCATTTAAATGCTCTTATTCTTGGTTTGCTTAAAATTAAGATGGCTGCCATGATTCCTCTCTCCCAGCTGTCTTCTGCTGCAAGAACAGCTCAGCTGCTCATGTAACAGCTGTTTAAGCTCCTGCAGATTACAGGATGCTGTATTAAGGAAACTGATAGGAATGCTGGTTTACCTTATGCTAGGCTGCAGGGGCTTAGCACCTGCTTCATAAGCAGCTGAGCCTTTCTTGGTCAGAGAGGAGCAAGGCACACAGCTAGTGGTAGAAACCAATTGCAGTTCTTCCAAGCTAAGCTGTCCTTGATTGTAAATTAGAGCCATAAGATCATGCATACATAACTAAGTTCTGCAGGCCATGTGATCCTTAGAGGAAACAAGCAGCACTGCTCCTGCAGCTAATGAATAATCTCTGTTAACTTAACTAGAAGTTTTGTGTTCTGGATTTATAGTACTGACCTTTGTCAGCCATCTGCATACACGTGGTGCAGATATTTGCTACTTCTCTTCACGAGTCAATTCATAAATATCACAATTTTCTTCTAATGAAATCCATACCACAAAACTGAGATCTTGAGGTGTCCTTAAAAAAAACCTCTTAAAGCGGATGAAACCAAAGCTGTAATCAAGTTCATAGCTTTTGCATGGCAGAAAGGATAACCATTTCTAGTAGCTCTTTTCATGCAAAAGGCTGGGTTTTTTTAATTATTCAAGTTTGAAATTACACTGATTTAATTTAGTAAATCAAATCAGAAATATTCAAAAGGACAGCCTGTTGCCAGAAAAATGGCAGATTTCAGAGGTGCATCTCTTAAACCACAAGGTCTAACAAACCTAGATGTATTTACTCAAATGTCTACAGCTAATGAATTTAGGTAAGGAGGGAATTTAGCGCTGTTTTGTTGAAAATTCCTTAACTACATCATGTACATTTCTCATTTGTTGCTTGATTACATGCTATAAAAGGAAATACAGAATTAAACAACTAAAGGAAAAACAAACATCCTTAAGAATTCTTTCAACTTCACTTTCCTCAAATTTTCACCTGTTTCAAATAAAGCCCAAGCAAAACCTGTCCTGAGATGTGCCTTAAGAATCACATATGGACAGGTCATGAGAAAACATGCAAAACAAGTTCCATCAAGAATCTAATACCACCAATTTTCCCAGAAAATGTCCTGACAGCAACTTCTGTGGGGAAGAAGAATTTTAAATAGACATGCTTCATTAACACACGGCTCTCCCATGGAGTGCCCCAGTCAAGATTTCCGACTCTGCTGTATGAAGATACATTCAATATGCAGCATAAGAGCAGAAGCGTAAGAGCAGAAAATGAGGGCATTACATGTTCTAGAGAACACAGAGCGGGGAGAAATCTTTGTGCTATTGCAGGTTATTGAGAAAGACTTCAAAGGTTTAAGGACTCTCAGGCTATACCCATTCTAATAAACTACAGAGAAGAGTATGGGTTGAAACACTGGCACATATTCATCCATACTGTTTACCTGTCAGCAAGATCCCAAGCATAGTTTTGTCTTGTCCACCTAGCATATTGCTCTAAAGACTGAGCAGGCTGTAGACTTCTGCTTACAATTAGTAAAGACACAGCTATCCTGCTGCAAGACAAAAAAGCCCTGTGGCTACAGGCAGCAGACTACAGCTGGTTCCATTAGTGTCAGAACCACCTCTGTACTGTTTTATTCGCTTTTACAGACACAATTATTTTGTCAGTAATAACTTGGCCTTCAGTTTGAACAGGGACACACCTAACTAAAGTTCACTTTCACCATAAAGCACCATCCAGAACAGCCATGGAATAAACTACTACTAGATGTTAATCCTTTAAGGTAACTTTCCTTTGATAACTTTGAGATGCATGCACTCAAATGTGCAGACTGAACACATAATGCAGAAGTAAACTACTTCTTGTAGGTTGATAAAAAGAAAAAAAATCTGAAGTATGTGAATTGTGACAGAAGTAAGCAAATACTTTTTACACAAACACTTTTATTTTCAAATTGATAGAACTCAGCTTCAATATACGGCTGTCCTTAAGTTCCTGGTTCCTTATGCATCAAACGTGATCAGGAGATCAAATTTTAAAGTGTGCCTTTGCTTTTAGCAATCAAATAGGCTTAAACTGACTTAAGGAAACACAGAATTTTCATTCTAGAGAAGGGATAAAGGAAAGTGTTCATCAGTCTACATTTACTGGATTTTTGACGGCATGGCTTAATTGTTGCAGCATGACAACAGTTCATCCAGTCATGAAATAAACGTGATTCTTCCTAATAACGGAGAAAACCCTACAAAATGGAATTATGAAAGTTTTTATAAAGAGTTTTAGAACTCAAAAAGGGAAGTCAAGTGACTCGCTCTTATTTTCCTCAACCAATTTGTTGGACCACAGCATGACTAAGTACTTAAAGGCAGAACAACTACAACTCTGGCAACAGTATTAGCAATCTCTCATACACAGATGACCTGAAGATATTTAGTTCCTCCAGCACCCAGCTTAAATATATGCTAAATATAGCCTTGGCCTTTTCTTCTGACATTAAGATGAAATTTGTCACAGAGCCCTGCCTCACTGCTTTTAAACCCTAGCTCTAAAGGGTCAGAAATACATTTCTCAAGCTTTCCTAGAAGTAAGCTATTCAGCAGGTTCCTTCCAAAAATTCTTTACTCTTGCTTATGACTTTGAAATCCTTGATTGGCACACCAGCAGAAATTCACACTGTGCTTCAAATGCTAGAAAGGTTACAAACTTCACAACAAAGCTGTGCCTTAATGAGAAGAACAATTGCCTTGATGTGCCACATGTGACACACTGAAAAATACATTGTATCTAGACCTATGTGGTAACTTTAACATTGCAAAACTGAGTCCTAAAAACTTTTAAGAGCACAAAATTTATTGCTTTGATACACTGTAAAAGAAAAATTAATCTGGAAAAGTTCTGTCATGACATGTATAATGGTTATCAAATGATAGCTTTCCATTAGACCACAGTCTACGGTCCAAAGACCATAGCTTAAAAAAAAAGGGTAGTTTTTTGGTTTAATGGAGGAGTATGAATTAGGTACTACATTATCAGATATTAGAATTGATACCAATGGTTTGAATATATAGTTAGTTGCATTGCACTCAAGAAGTATATTACATACCTTAAAAAAACAAAAAACAAAAAAAAAAAACAAAAACCAAAAAGCCCCAAAACACCACACATCACAAAGGCCTGTCCCTATGCCAAAAACCTGGCAAATCTAAGAAAGAGGGACATGATAAGACAGCAGACATAGCTGGAAAAATAGTTTAATAAATCTACCAGCCCTCTGATTGTAAAAATCATATACAGGTCTTGTCTTAAAAAAAGAACTCCATGGAAGCTGGTTCATAGCTTACAAGGCCACGAGAGACCTTATAGGGTCATCTGACCTCACTAATGCAATACGCATTAGGACTTCAGTGAACTAAATTCTGCTTGCACTATACTGCAAGTTTCTCTTGAATTGGAAGTTATTAGTGAACAAATACTCAGCAAGCACTGCAAGGGACTATTATCACAGTGGAAAGTTATCCTCATAACTAAAAACATGTCCTGTTTCTAGTTTAAATTCATCTAGCCTCAGTTTCCAGTATCTTATTTTAAGTTTTTGTTAGACCTCTACTATTAAGATACTATTACCTACAGTTATAGCTATAAGCTTTAAAAAAAACACAGAAATGGTCTCCAAGAGCTCAGCAAGAAACCTTTGCCAATCCTTCAGTCATTCTTCTGGCTCCTCTGGTTTCTTTTCAACACTTCAACACTTTTTGAAGTGCACCGGGACAAGGTATAGCTAGCTACACAACTAAATCTGGAAAACAAGGAAGAAGTGAGAAAAATAGTGGGCAATGAGAAAAATTACACAGGGAAAAGGTATGAATGAACAAAGGCGGACTACCAGACTAGAGCCAAAATTCTGTAATAAAAATAGAAAGTAGAAAATCCAAAACCTAGAATTCTGAAGCTGGCCGCACTTTACATGCAGCTGCAGTGATCTCACTGGAAAGGGCTCTAGAGCATTTGCAGGCTTTTTTCTTATTTTAAGATACAAAGCAGATAACCTCAAGAAAACAAGGGTCATTTTACAGTCTGCTCTCAAAAGCTACTCTTTGCTCATCTTAAAAGATTATGTTGGGCAACCACTTTATAAACTGTCATGGAGCGTGTGATGAGGACAAGGAATCCCACAGACTCTGCATTAATCTCTCCTTCACTGAACAGGAGTCACTGTTCTCACGTATAAAAGCTTCCAGAAGCTCAGATATTGCAGGCACATCCTATAAATGCTGAAACAGCCTTTCAAAGAAGGCTATGAAGCAAATGAATTTCACCATGCATATAGATTATTTGTCTTACTATTTACGCTTTCAGTCACACATCACCTAGCTTCAAATTCGGAACACTACATGGTGAACCTGTGAATGATCAGTTTTTATATGAGAAAGTAAATCCAAGTAGAAAGTTTCAAATTGAAAGGAAATAAAACTTACTGTAATTGGCACATCTTTTGTTCCTGAATTTAATAAATGCAGATTTAAAATTTTTGGCAGATCTGTTAAAGAACAAAAAACACACCTGGCTATTAGGCTATTTTAACATAAGAACCTTATACAAAGGTATACCAGCACTAGCTGGTTTCTCATATAAACCTATTGTTGTTCAGTGTTAAAAAGTTAGACTAGCATGACAGTACAGCCAGTCAAAATAGCTAGTCCCAAGAATCTGACACACTTAAAAACTGCATTTTTCTGTATTAGTAGGTATTACGTGCTTCAGCTAACCACTTGTATTTCTAACACATTAACAAATGAACAGGCTAAAAATACTACAATGAATGATTTTGCCGGATGCAACACTATTCAGCACAAACTAATCTTATTTAAAAATCTTTGCATGTTAATTTGCAAGGAAAAGTACTTCAGAAGCTACCTTTTAGCTGAAACAAAATATGTACTGTTTTCTTCAGTAACAAGTCCCTTTTACAGTTTCAAAAGATACCTTCGGTTTTACTACTTTCTGCCACACATACTTAATATTTTATTTCACTAAACAGTATTAATTTAAAATATAAAATGTTAGGCACAAATGTGTAAATGGCACTTTAAAAAAAATCATAAGTAACAAATTTGATTAAGTTTGCACACTTTCACTATTCCCTGTGTCTGAAAATTATTAAAACTTATGCAGATGTAGAGCAATCTTTCAAAACGCGTTCACAAATTAAGTAAACTGACAATGGTTTTCAGACTAAGCTTATAACTGGATGTGCAAACTACTGTTCACTTGTACACATCTTAAGCGTACTTGCAGGTGAATACATTTATGCACTGCTGTAACACATTGTTATCCTGCTTTTGAAACTCCGGCTTTTAAAAAGCATCATTCCACAAGCAACCCTGAATAGTACAAAGATAACTGGGCTTTCCCCTCCCCACCCTACTCCTTATAAATACTTTTGAGACCTGAAGTATAGTTTACCTTGTGTTCGTAGTGTACCAAAATCTAGCATTTCTGTTGATGAATAGATTCCTGGTGCTTTAAGGGAAAAAAAAAAAGTTACCATTTTCTTATTATACTAAAAATTAATTAAGCTGAATAATGTAAAAGAAAAAAAAACAACTTAAACCAAACCAACAAAACCCCAACCACTTTGTACAAACCTGTTGTAACTTCTACTTCAACAGGGAGAATGATAAATTCTGTGTTGTCTGAGGCATTTGTTTTTATTCTAATGAAGGCTGTATGATTATCTGCTTCTCTTGAAGAAAAGCTGGCTCTCATCACTCCTTTTGTTTCATAGGGAGGTATTTCCTGATAAATAATCAAAGCACATCTATGAGAGTGCAGTAATTACAAAAAAAAGCTGCCACACCAAAAAATTACAATAGAAACATTGTGTATAATTGTATTAAGAGAAAAAGCTGCAACAGCAGTAAGAGATAGGCTGCATGTTATTAAATTTACCATTAAATCCAGTAAGGATAGTTGTAATAATCTAATATGACACTGATTAAAAATAGGTATACGCAAGAGGAATTTCATGTCTCATTTGATTAAGTTTTATGTATTAAAATTGTGGTAAAAAGATAGTAGACTAAATTGACAAAATCTACCAATAAACAAAATCTATTCATAAAAATGTTACTGAGTGCAGTAACATCAAATATTGGCTTTGCATATTCTAATTGTTTTTTCCTCCAAAGCAGACACAAGGCATACAGTTTCAGTGCTAAACACAAATTGAAATTGTGCAAAACTGCAAGTAGCCAGAAGCTTGTGGAGCTGCAAATTTATTAGTCACCAAGCAATTTACAGCAGAAAGTCAAAATGTGGTTTAGTTTCTGTACCAAGCCAATTCAATCAGTTCCAATGTGCATTTACGGTTTGAAAGGCAACGGTTTCTGTATTTGCTGGACACAGCTGCAGCACAAGACTAGCTTCAGAACCATAGTTGAAGTACTAACATTGCATATGCTTCCCCAACACATTATAGAAGGGCTGGGGAACTGGAGTTTTTCCTTCTCTTTTTTTTTTTTCTAAATAGAAGGTAAAAACCTTGATTTGAAATTTGGAGCTTCTTCCATTTTAAATGCAAATAAATATCGTAGAAAGTAGGAATATTTGATAAGCAGTCCTTGCATCAATTGAAACTGCTGTTTCAGTTCTTTTGTGTTTTTGATGAAGGAAACTGGACAGGACATAGTCAATATAGGTGCTGATTGGCTTATACATCTCTTCTGTGCTTTCTGTAGTACAAACTCATACCAATCCATTCTGGAGGTCAAGTTATATTTTCCATGGCACAATGACTGTAGGTGTATACCTTGATATTCAACAGTTTTCAAAGAAACTAGTTTCAACTGCTATTACTTGGCGAGTCCCTAAACTAAGAAGCTTTCAAGTTCTGTTTTCACACTTATTTACAGACCTAATGTAATGCAGCTGTTCATTAACATTTCAAATGATGTGAATTGACTCTTCTGTATGTATAACCAGGGACCCAGGTTTGTCAGATCCCCGAAGTAACTTCACACAGTGATTACAAAAATACTCCTGCATATGCAGACTGCTTCATCCAATCATCCAAACATTTGGCATCAAAACAATTTTAGACAATGATGTACATCCATATGTCAAAGTACCACCGCCGTATTTCAAATAATTTCTTCTACTTTGCAGCTTTTTCTGACTACAGTGCAGATCTTAACATAGCCAATACAATGATGCATCTAGGTGTTTCCTCCTACTTGTTTAATTTCTTCTAGCTGCCTTATTGTTTTGAAATACTAATGGTTGATATAAAAAACAAGAGGATTAGTGCTGACCAGTATTAACCTAACTGCCTTTCCATGCAATGCACTGGAAGCTTTCACATGCATGTCATCATTGCTTTTACCGGCAACCTGGCCTAGAGAAGCTGAAAAGCTACATGCTCAAGAAACAGAACTAGAAATAAACCAGACATTTAAAAATCTTCTATTCTTTTGTTTGTGGCTCTAACATGTTTGTTACATACCTACCAATGACTACAGAATTCAACATCCCTCTGGAGTTTTTTCAACAACAAGTGGCTATCTTTAGCAGCAATACCATTTGACTAAAATGGTGTCAAGACATTAGGACCTTCATTTTTTAAAATCCATTTTAATCTTTACATCTATACCTCAACATCAAAAAAAATTTTTTTAAAATGCTTGTGATCTGTATTCATACTCACTTGTTTGCAAATTAATGTATGTAAAACTACGATACTGCCGTTCTCATGGACCTTCTCCAGAAAAGCCAGGAATTAAGTTTTGTGATCATCCTTCTTAGCTCACTTGGAAACATCCTGGCTTTACTCATTACAACAGAGGTAACTGTCAGTGACTGTAATGATACACTTGAGCAAGAGACAAGTTTTGGAGCCCTATGACTTTAAAATCTCTCCCAGACAAAAAACAGTCATCAAAAAAAGGAATAATTCTAATTAAAGAGCAAAATAGGTTTTGTATGTAATTGGACATTACCAACAGTGTAATATACAACACAGAACCAATACTTTACCTTCAGGATGCTTCTAAAATTTATGTCACTTAAATATATCAGTATGTATTACTTCAAAACTACATTAAGTGAAGAACACAACAAAACAGATTTAATGGGCCAGACCATTAGTCCATCCAACCCACTACCCCATCTCCAGCAGCAGACATGAAGAGTAACTGCAGGGAATGCATGTAGGAGTATTTTCCAGAGCAGTTTCCAGCCACTCTTGACTCATGATCTAGATATTTATTGCCGCTAGACACACTGCTGTTTTATGTACTAGTCCTTAATAGATTCTTCTTCCCTTAGTTTGTTCAGCCGCTTTTTCAACCCACATATGCATTCATAATGATTTGCAGGAAGGACTTCCTCAGTTTAAAAAAAAAAAAAATTCGGTATATTTTTCCTGTGGGTTAGATCCAGCTCACGGGCCATCAGAAGGACTACATTGTCCTGAATACATAGGTAGGTGTAATTCATTCTACTGGGAATCACCTTATTCCTCTCATTTCAAAAAAAGCACAGCTCAATACAGATGGCTTCTTTTAATTAAACCTTTCCTTCAATTCCTATTACCATACAATTAACAGACCCTGTTATAGTTTCAATTTTTTATGGGGTATATTTAATAATTACATGACAAGAAACAAAGTCGGTAAAAAAAAACCCAAACCTAAAATCCTATCAAAATAAAACCTCCCCAAACACACACAATGAATGCTGCAAGACATGACTACTCACCCACAACTTCCTTGTACCTCCTTGCTGACCTGTTGGAAGCTCTAAATGGAGATCACCTCCACTGGAATACATTTCTACCACCTGAGGTGGATAACAGGAAAATGTTAGCACTCAACTTTAAAGGGATCCTGGTTTAGTTATCAGGTATTATAATGTGCAATGGCACAGCTTAGCAACTATTTGACCATTGGAGTACCTATAAAGTCACTTTTAATGATGATATACCCATTTGCTAGTGCTTTCTGTAGCATTTCGCAGTTTGTGGATCACTTAACAGAATCAGGTCACATTTATCAGTGGACTACTCATTTACTTGTTTGGCTAGGTACACACATTAATCCTGCCTTAACATAAGAATGCTTGCCAACATCACATACTATGGTACACCATAAAGACACCTTATGCTGTGCAAAACAAGCAGAAGGAAGCTAAGAGGCATGCCTGGATTAAAAGCGCAACATCTATTTTACTTTGTTTGCTTCAGCATTTTTCTTAATTACCAGTGAAGTTTAATTCTTTATTTTGCAGTAATTATGACCACTTTAAAAATGGAGATTTCACCGTAAAACCTCAATTTAGCAAATGAAGGGATCTGAGAGCATAATCTATAATTTCTAGAACCACTGATTTGTATTTCAACAGAAAAACATTTATATAATATGAAAGTCTTGGCCTCAAATAGCTTTAAAGTTCAAACAGAATTTTAAGAAGTACCAAAACAAACAAAATTTCCATTTAATATCATAAACGTAAATGAGTATTTAACAGTTTTCTCTTAGGCTCACCTGCAAAGGTTCACTGTGAGGGTTGTGTATATTTATTATAGGAGAAAAACTGCTATTTACAGGAACTCGTGCCCCAATAAATGGGCGCAATCGATAGGGGTTCGGAACTCCAATGCCAAACACCTGGTTCAGAAAAACAAAAACAAGCTTAAGTAGCTGTATGTAATTGCTGCAGAGCCTAACATATGTGCACCAATTTTAGTAATCTACCAAGTACACTTTTCGATTAATTTTACAGTAAACTTCTAACGTAACATTTAAAACCAGTAACATGCTAAAGCACTGAAATACAGAAACTGGTTTAGTTTGCAGCTAAAGGGTATTTCTCACAGGTACTACTTACTTACACTGACATATTTAGAACACAGGAAGTCAAAATACCATCTTTTTTTCTGATACTCTGAAACACTAGATACCAGCTAAAGGTTAAAAAGATGCAAAATACCCTTTGATCATACCATTACGAAACAGACCATCCATATGGGAAGCACTGTTGTTGTTTTCAAAATATTGCCATGGTAAGAGTCATGCTCTTTCAACAAGAGGACTTCTCTCACTTTCCAGACTTTTCAGACTCTCTCTCATCTGTCTGGTTTATCTTTCTGAATCTCAAGTGAGTGATTTTTTGCCAGCTTAATGAATAACATTGTCTTGTCACTGGATCAGATGAGTACAGAGCTAAAGAATGAGCTAGATCACTGCAATGAGCCACTAAAATAACACACACAAAAAAGTTGGGAGGATTTTACCCTACATAATTTCATCAATCTGGCTTACAGTACTGCCCTACAGATATTTACAGTGGTATACCTCTGTTACAAAAAGCAGCAGCGATGGAAACTTATTCAATTGGGCTGATAAAAAAAAAACTCCACAAAAAACCACAAACCCCACTACTGTGCAGATACCCTTGGATGGTTAAGCATGCCATAATGGGTAATGTTCTGGTTGATTCACACTTCATAACTTTTTCTGAAAGACTGTAATTCTCTTACCTGATAAGTAAATACCCCATGATTGGAAGTGTTAATAAATAAAGTGTTCTCTACGTTTCCCACTACTCTTGCGAGGAAAACTACATCAAAGGATGTATTCCCTCCTGGAAGAATTTTCTGGAAAAAATAAAAGCAAGCAAGCAGAGGAATAAGCAAAACTGTTCATTGAAGACATTCCACCTTGCACATGAACAATAGGTTTTGTGCTACCGAAGATCTCTGTGTCTTCCTTCTGGAAAACTGAAGTTAGAAAGTCTACTGCAGATTTGGAAAAAAATTAAGAGTAGAAGTTTTAGACAAATAAAAATGTGTGACAAAATGATAAAAATACCAATATTTTATAACTACTATTTAGGGCAGAATCATATTTAACTGAATTTTTATGCTGAATTCTGAACTTAAGAGTTCAGCTTATGAGAAATACTTTGGACTGACAGTTTACAGAACACTGGAGAAAGGCAATTACTACAAGACTTCCATAAGTGAGAAAAGTTGCTTATAGACAGGTTTTCTGAAGTTTTTAGTGTTTACATGGCCCCTGCTAAGCCACAGGCCCTGCAGACAAAACTGAAACTAGAAGACTATATCTGACAGTAATGTGGTTGAGAGTTAACCCTGCTGACACCATGCTTTTTAACTTGCAAGTTTCTGTACCATGATCACAGTAGTTACAAGTGCATTGGAGTGACTGCTTCACACTAACACCACTTCACCGGACTTAACAATTTTCAGAAAAACTGTAAGAACACCTTGTTCCTGTATGTGCTCTAAGGCAACATACATGTAGTCACCTCAGCAGCGAAGAAGATCTGCTGTTAAACTGTCAGTTACAGTATACACTTCCAACATACAACTCCTATGCAATATTTCACTCCTCTTTAGGAGGGTTTGTGTGTGTTTCTGTGCTCAGTTCAAATTTGCTTGGTAACTGATATGAGATCAAGAACTGCAGTATCCTACTACTTCTAGGTATGCAATTATTGCAGTTAGTAGCTCATTTAAAGAAGGGAGGGAAATCAAGCTCCCATTTGGGGTGGGGAGGGGGAAGGAAAAGCTCATTTGAGAAAGCAGAAAAACTTACCCTATTTTGAAAAAATGATGCATGAAAATGTGATGTTGTAGCAGATATTGATACTAATGTAATTGTTTCTTCTGAGCTAGGGTTATGTAGGTAAACTTTTTCCATTTTTGGCATTCCAACTGGCCTGTCGAAACAGAGAGAGAGTATTTTTAAAGTGTCAGAATTCTAGAAAGTAGAGCATTGGGCTTCGCCCCATTAAACCAGACAGGAACATAACAGTGATGAACACTGACAACAGAACTTTGCATTAAATGTCTTTTCAAGTAGCATATGTAAATTAAACCTTGAAGAATTACTTTGTTAACTTTTCCATTATTTTACTGATTACTTTTCCTGAAGGCTTACCTAACATTGCATCATCCTCTAAAATGATACCTATCCAAAATGAAATTTTATTTTTCAAGGGTTTTTTTTCAGGCAAAGTTTTCTATTCCTGTGCTAGTATCTCTAAATAATTATCTTAAGAAAGATTGCACACAGCAACTTAAAATAAACAGAACACACCATGGACAAAAGTCTAAGCACAATTTTTTTCCTTATAGAATGTAAGTAGTCTTATCCAGAACCCCGAATTTTTCCAGTATTGTATTTTATAATACGCTCTACAGAATTAAGTACACAGACATGTGCAGCAACAACTACTTTATTTGTATATTGCACTTGAATGCACACCTTAAGGAAAAAAAATAACAAATGCTTGAGATGAATTCTAGAATTTAAGAAGTCTAAACCACAGAAGTCAAACAGTTAAACAACAGCACACTTTCTCAGTAACAGGACATACTAACAATTTATTCCACACAAGCTTTAGGCTTGTTCCTTTTTGTTTACAACAGCCGACATGACAATAAGTACTTCAGTTTCACCAAATACTTTTCAGACTTCGGTATCTCTTCAGAATTTTTTTCATGCCTTTTAACACATACATGTTAAGCATCAGCACCAAAGCACTCAAAGTGTGTAGATTACAATTTGCTCCAAATTAAATTTTGGAATTCAAAATAGTTAACTCTTTCAGGCTACACGTATTCCACGTAGCACTCCTTCCCACGTCACCTGCCCCAAACATTGCAATGACTGCAAAACTATTGGGAAGAATTACTCTCTGTGGCACCTGAAGTCATGACAACCAGTAACATGCTGCTGTTCTGCCATCCTCAGTTAACTTTAACAGACCAAATTAATAAGCGCTACTGTAGTTGCACAGTTTTTCAACCTGGAGGGTGGTGGGGGGGGGGGGGTGTCTCAATAGATAGAGCAACGTTAAGTTTGCTGTAAATTAAAGGTTGCACTGAATGGCAAGTATGGCAGATTTAGTGATAGTAGTCAGACTATACCACAATTTACAAAATTATTTTGGTAACAGACAGAACCTCCTACTTACAAAACATGGGCTAAACAGAAGGATGCTAAAGACCACAGTATTAATTCAAAGATGCGATTATTAAGCTTCAATAAACTGCATGCTCACTAAGAGTAGAATATATCTGCACTGTGCTACTGTAAATCTCTTTGCTTGCTGAGTCCTCCTAGTTTCATGTCTCCATCAGCAAACACTTGTTCTTGATCCTTCTTTCACTGTCCAAAAAAAAAAAAAAAAAAAAATCTCATTTTGACTAACTTAACTAGTAATGAAGACGACAATTTCTCTCCTCACCTTTTAAAACCCATACAAAACCTAACATCCAGGTTAAGCCATAGAAGTATTCGTATCTGTTGCCAGTACACATGGGGATATTAGAAAGGGAAACTGTTTATCAGCTGTGATGTTTTGCATTAACTGCTGTAACTGCTACATTGTTGATCAATGGAATCAAACAGTAAACATATACACCTGTTCTTCCTTTGTGAGGGAAAAAGCTTATCAGACCAGAGGAATCTGAATGAGAGCCAGCCCTCCAAAGTTCTCCATCTCTACCCCACCCCCGGGGGGGGAAAAGAAACCCCAACCCCAAACCAATAAACCCCCCCAAAAAAAACCCAACAAACACAAACCCAAAGAAAAACAAAACAAAAAACCCAAACCAACCAAAACAAAACAAAAAATATGACCACCTCCCACAAAAGCACAACTGAGAAAAGTGTCTGCTGATACAGAATTACCCAGCACCCCCTGAATTCTGAACCCACTGCTTCAAGCAGTCCTTCACTGACATCAGTACAGATGGGCTTGAGTATTTTATCTGCTTGGTAACTGAAAGGTATAAGCAAGCTTTTATAACAGTCAGCAATTTCACAGTGAATTCGTTGTTTACAGAAAGTGGTCATGCCTTAAACAAGTACTCTTTGATTCTACCAACACCAAAAAAAAAAAAAAAAGGAAAGAAAAAGTAATAAAATGGTCCAACTCCTCCAACATTGAAGAAAGCTCTTCCAGTCTCTCCTGAAGATCCACTGTCTGTTCCCTAGTTCTCACTGCAGTTTCTCATTCTCCTCAGTGGAAGACATGCTCCCAGCACCTTGTTGCAACTCTTTTGCTTGCCACAGTGCAGTTTCTGGATACTTCTCTTTCCCAGAGCATGCTCAGTAGCTCCCCAAGAAGGGGAATCCATCCTCCTCCTCTATTACAATGCACTCCAACCAGCCTTCATAAAAGGAGCTTAAGAGCCAAAAACAAGAATCAAGCAGAATAGCTCCCACCAACCACAACAGCAGGAAGCGAGAGAAGACGAGGTAGATTTTAAGCACTGTATTACATGCGAGCAAACGGCATGACTAGCACATCACCTGTGGTCTCTACAGAGAAGCAGCTGTGTACTGAAAACCCAAGATCAGAGTTGACTTAAGTGACACTTTTTATGATGCATAATGTGTAAAACACCACAAAGCCAAGAAAACTATGTTGAATGAACGGGTAACACTTGAAGTGCCAGTCTGTTCCTGTCAGAAAGGTAGTTTGGAAGTAAAACTCATTATCCCAGGAAGTGTTTAAAATATTAACAATCTTTTAAGGCCTTCACACTTTTCCAGTTCTGAATAGAGGGGAATATAAGACAGTATGTTTGAGAAGCTAAAGCCTATAAAAACAACTAGCAGGGAAGCAGCCATGACAGGTATCACAGTTCACTAACTTCAGATTCCAGGCTAAACCACCACAGTATAATTATAGGTGATAAAGGCAGACGTCACTAAAAAGGAATTCTGTTCCTAGGACTATGTTTTATTTTACTATTTTGTTGACCGTTCTGATTTTGAAACAATGAGTCGGGTATTATCTTTTGCTCAGATACAGCTTTCCTTATATTCTTTAAGCTTGATGTTAGCCAAATCTACAGAAATAGGACAAACCTCACTTGTTTCTTCTGCCATTAGACGTGGTAAAATCCAGGTAAAGCAGCGTGCACCAGACACCTTTAATGAGCCTACATCCCAAGCAATAATCACATAAGGGATGCTCTCCAGGCTGCGGATTATCAAGCTGCAATGATCTGCACAAGTACAGTGTTGCCTGGTGCCAAATTTTACGGCAGAATTTCCTGGAGCAGTCACAGCTAGCACTTTTCATTGCAAGAAGCTGGTACAGAGTCACACCTTCAGGCAAACATGAACTGTCAAAGCACGTAAGATTTTGCTCCTGATCTTTTGTCCCTGCATATTGCTAGGTCCACCTACACTGATAAAAAACAGATAGCACAACCTAGATGAGAAGATGGTAATTAACAAGGGTGAGGTGCCTGTTCAAATGGGTAAAGAAGTCTGTGTTCACATTCTTTTCTGCCGCAACTCAGCTCTTTCCAAAGCCTGAGTTAGTATCTGCAGCATATTGTAAGCATGTCCTTGTAATGGAATTCATTGCTGCTCTAGGAATCAAGAGCTAGATTCTTTTAACAAAGGAAACCAGCTCCTGCAAAAAGCTGGGGAGATGAGTCCTTGAGTTATTGGCTCAAACTTAACTTGCAAAAATATCTAGCTACTCACTGTGAAGCAAATACAGATTGACAGAATGCCCTTTTAAAAGAATAATTACATTTTTTTCTTACTGCATATAGTTTAGACACCTCTAAAATGCTCGCTTGATTTATGAAAACTGATACCAATCTATTACCGAAAAGCAAAGGATATAAATTCAGCAGATACATTCTTCCTCTTCCATCTCTTATTCTTTCTAATAAGACTGGAGAGAGAACTGAAGTAAATCAAAAGCTTCCCACTTAGACTTTGGAATTGTGGGAATGTAGATAAATATACTCAAGATTCAATTCAGGTTAATTCCTCATGAATTTGAGAGTTTAACAAATATGTTTTCCCTTAAGTATTTTTTTCTTTTAGCATCTTTTGCAACTGCTGAAACAATTGTAAGACCAGTTGTTGCACAGCATTTTAAAAGTTTCACGTGGATTAAATCAGTATGGTGTGTCAGACAGGAGTGAATAGCAGATGCCTAGAAGGCAAAAGTGTAATGATGTGGAAAGCATACAGTCAGGTGCCCAGAAAACTCTCCTAGCCTCTGAATATATGCAGCTTGGGAACTTCCTGAACCAATGCAGATGGCTCTCCAGTCAGAAGATCAGAGAGATAGAGTCAGCTCCAACAATAAGAACTTGGGTGTTGACTTGTAATGTATCCAGCTACTTTTAATGAAATGAAATGAGCTGGTCTTACAAGGTTACCTCTAGAGACTGAAAGGTAATGCCTTTCATATCCCATTCTGAAGAAAATGCTAGTTCCTTATGTGAAGGAAGCCTGCATGATGTACAAGACTAGACAATTAGTGACTACAGCACTCTTCCTGTTTCACATGAAACTGTATGCATCATTGGTTGAGTGACACAAGCAAGCTGCTGCTTTAACTCAAGTCAGAGGAACTGAAGCACGTAAGTATAAAAATGCAACTACATCTCTAACTCAGAAAAGCAAAAGAAAACAGAAGGGTTTTGGTTTTGTATATGTACGAGCCTACAGACCAATTGTTTCTGAGCTTCCAGATTTCACTGGCGTTTAACAAATCAAGAAAGTTCTTTTATATTACACTTGACAAAAAGTTAGTGTCCATGTTAACATACTAAACAGCGCAAATGCCCCATTTTGTTAGGAATCCAACTCAGATCCCATACAACAAATCATACCTTTTCCAAACAGTTATCAAAACCCCATATACAAAACACCAGTAGTAGAGTCTTATCCAATCATGTTACCAACTGTGATTGGAATGAATCTAAGGGTGTAATAAACTATTATTTGCTTTGGCAGCATTCTGCAGTCTAGCATATATGAACAAAAACAGAGGTAGATCCGGACTAAATGTCAATTTACTGTCAACAGTTTCTTATGTTTAACAAACTCCAAGGGAAATGAAAATTTCATTTTGCAACTTTTTAAAAAAAATTCCAATAATATCAAACTCTCACACGTTAGAAGTGTATCAAAGGTACTGTGTAAACATCTGGCTGCACATTATAGGTCCTTTCACCATTTGTAAACATACTTGTTTAAAATGTAAGAAAACTAGTGACTTGGATAAACTCTTTAGTTGCTAAAATTCTCTGCTATTTACTGTTAAGAGATTAGAGCTCTTGAAGAAAATAAACCAATTTGCTCAACTTCCCATCCTCTTATGTTACTTCAAGTAACATAAGGTCTCAACACCTGCAAAAAGATCTCAAGTATTTTAACATTACCAAGCAATTGCTTTCAAGGCCAGCTCAAGCTTTCATCCTGCCAAATACTAGAGCTCACAAACAAGAAACATGAAAATTACCAAAATCCCCTAAGGAAAACATTTAAAAGGAAATGCAAAGCAAGATTATTTATCAATAGAAAACCAAAAGACAGAGTTTCAGAATACTGGCCTACCAACGAGAAAACACTGAAAAGAAAACGGGACCTTGCTCAAATTGAGTGAAGCAAGAACCTCCATTCACCACGGAAGCATATGCTGTTCAAGGATTAAAATATTACTTTTGCTAAAAGTATCATTTCATACATTACCAATCACTTCTATGAAGCAGGGGTAAGATGTCAACATCTTCAAAATAATTCCACATTTTAAAATTTTGATGGTAAGCAGTTCTAGCTTATATTGTGTTAGCATCCTAAAATACTCAATACCCAAGTGCTCTATTGCCAAAAGTTACTTCTACCAAAAATTTAATTGTGAAAAACAAACTTTGCTTTTGATATAGTCAGAGTTGAATTAACACAGATGAGTGCAGTATATCAAGATCTATGAAGATTCAAGTTCTCCCACAAAGCCTGTGCAAGAACTGAATATAAACTGCCCTGCAACAATATTCTTCAGTCTTTACACAGAAGGGCCACCTGGAAGAGCTCCAATATGAAGACTTGTCTCAAACACAGAAAGCCATATAGGTAATGACTGTTCTGCCAAAATAGCCTCTGAACAACCAACTCCCAAAGCTATGTAAGATGATGTAATGGTTACTGTTTGTATGTTACAACACCTCAATTATTCCATTCCCATTTAACAACAGGGGAGAGTAACAGATTAAGAGAGAGAGTACAAGGAACAGAACACAGCTAAGAACAAAGGCAGCTAGTTGTGGAGTTGGTTTTGGGTGGAGGGTTTTTTTTCTCATTTGTTTTCTTTAAAGCCCCGAATCTCCTATATCCAACATGTTGCAGAATTTGTTCCAGTGGACGACTGGTGTTGCTTCAGAAACACAAGCAGGAGGCTTTGACATTAAATAACCAAATGAGTATTCCACTTAGTCCAAACAGTCCCCTGCAGCAGTGATATGGGAGAACCTGCTTTAGTTGCACCCCATTCCCAGAGGCTTAATGTATACAGAGAACATTTGGGATCTCTTCAAATGAGCTAAAGATTTGCATATCCTAACATACAGCATGTATTTCCTTTGATAAATGTGAGATTACCTGGACTGTCTTCAAAGTGGTAGAATATGGTAGTGTTCATTTTATATTAAAACAGCATAAACCCCCCAACTGTTATAAAACAGAAGTACAAGGCCATTGTAAATCTCATCTCCACATGGAACACAGGAAGTGTGTCTAACTGCACCTATATTTGTCAACTTAATGCTGATTTTGATTTTCTGAGATCCCTAAATAAAATAACTTTTAATAAATATTATTCCTGCTCAAGTTGGCATGTTTTTGGAACATCTGATTAAACCCACACACTCTCAGCAGACCAAAAATGTCACAGGAAGAGTGGGTTAGCTTACAACTGAAATTAAATATTGCAACTTGCTTTAGCCTAGGAATGATACGTGTTGATAGCTCGGCATAAACATCAACTGTGAACAAGCTTGCTCTACCAAATGCTACGTATTACCTCTTAACAAAACACCGTTTAGGTACAATACTTATTCAGAAACTAAATATGCCTTTCCTAAAATCCATTAACAACGAAAGAAAAGCCAGAATTTGAATGTGAAAAGCCTGCCTATTTTAATAGGCAAAAAAGCCAAAAACTTAAATCTGCATTATTTGACTTCCAAGGTGCTTCGCACCTGCAGTTTGTTCCCACCAAGGCTGAGTTACTCAGCATTTCTCCGAGTTGGTTCACTTTTATTTAAATGCCTAAGTACAGATTTTAAACTGAACTTTGGGGCTCCCTATCTAAACATTTTCTAAAACTGTTATTAGAACTTTGGTAAGGTGTCAAAAATGAGAAGATGATTTCTGCCTGAGATTATGACCTAAACTTCAACAGATAAATTAGCATATACTGTTAGAAAAAACCAAACAGAACACACAATGAACCAAGATCTAACACACAGGTTCCCTGTTTTAACTGACAGAAGGCACCGATCCCCCAGTGTAGTTTTGCATTTATTGTACAGAACCCCTCCTAAGAGATTTGCACTACTTTAACAGTGTACTAGATCTACACAGTTTCTTCAGTGCTTTCAGCTCTGACAAGAACAGCTTACACAAAAAGCCAAAATGCAATGAAGAACAGCTTAAAGTATTTATGATACTGTCTGGGGTCTATTTTTAGCAAGAGGGGAGGGGAAAAAAAAAAACCCAAAACAAAACTGTCTTTGGAAATCCACAAAGAGAAGCACATGTAGCTTTCTTCAGATAAGCATGCAAACTATAGATGACCTTTAAAAGCAAGATATTTCAGAGCACATCAACAAAACACTTTATTCGTATTAGAAAAAGGGGTATAAAATACATTTCAAAAAAGTCAAATTCTGTAATTACTATGAGTGGAAAACTTGTACAATTTCAAGAGAAAAATCACTTAAAACCAAATCAATAGGCAAGTTTATAGTAACTCTAAAAAAGAGCAAACTGCTCTACAAGTCTGAGTTGTACCGCACTCACTAGTGTAACTTGTTAACTATAACTTAATTTTGTTATAGCAGAGATGCAGTACAGCAGGGCTTACCACTAGGTATTTTACTATTCAATTTAGAAGCTCAGTATCCTCTCACCTAGGACCAGTTACTGATATTACAAAAAACAAGACAACAAAACCACGCAACATCAAAAGCTAGAGATTCTGAAATTTTGAAGCAATAAGCAAGAGAGGACAGAGTGATTTATTATGTCTTTACTCAGAAGTTACAATTTTGTTAGACTGAGCACAAGTAAATTCTGTAAAACGAGGCATTTTCATATAGCTTTGCTATTTAGTGGTATTATGTTTGTTTTTTTGTATAAAGGTTATTTCTGGAAAACTACTCTGTGAAACAATATACAGTTACAGCCTCTCTTCTTTCAGAAACAAAGAAGTATACACCATGTCAATACACAGGAGCTTCCTTGCACATCTCTGTAGTCACCACACTGTACAGTAGTCTTTCCTACAGACAAGGGGTACTATGTTTTTATTAATAATCCATGTCTTATCTGTAAATGAAGCAGCCTTTTATCCAGCAACAGTGCTGGCTGAGGATGGGGGAAGCAAAACTGCGCTAAGGCACACCTGGGCTGTTTTCTTTCCTTCAGGTTGAACTGTTAACAAAATGTTTGAAATGTCCTCACTGCAGTTTACATTGCGTCAAAGCATCAGTCATGCACAGAGGCTGTGTCCGCGTACACCAACTCCAGAACGGATTTTGACTGTTAACAAGAAGACTGATTGTAGCTACCTATGCACAGTAACCAGGTACTGGTAAGAAAAGTTAAGACTGAAGTATTTCTCAGAGGAACTGATCACAAACAGGTACATTGTTCAAACTGTTAAACTTCCTTCCTCCTCCCTTTCTTTTATCTTTCAGGGAAGTCACAGGTAAGTTTGCTGTAAACGATTGCATTCAGCCACTGAGATTGAAACAGCAACCAGCTGCAAGGTAGAGCATGGAGCTAAGTTCCTGGAGGCTGTTTGTTCGCCTTGAGGCTTAATTCTCACAACTCTGCGTTACTCTTCTGGCAACTGCAGATCCACTGACAAAGCTTTCTTACCACCAAAGCAGTAGTAAAATGGACATGCTAGAGTAGATGCTCTCTGACGTGGGTTATATACAAGCAGAAAGGCAATCTCACCTTAGGACATTAAGTTCTAGACTTAAACCTTTTCCACTCTGCAGAGCAGCTGTACAAGTACCTAGAAAGTATGTACCAGTACCTACACTACCAAAACCATGGCAGCTGATAGGTCGCTACATGATGTACACCAGCTCGCTGGAACAACTAGGTCAACTACACTTATGGCCAGTCTATCAATACAATTTATGTATACAACCTTCTCCATCAGTTTTAAATGCTCTTGAGAATTTTTTTTTTTTCCTATTCGTCTAACTGAACAGAGCAAAAGACTTTTCAACTTACTGTTCATGGAAATCCAGCATTGGTGGCTCAAACCGGAGGGGTCGGCAATTTCCCCGATATAGGGATACACTGCAAGGAAAATAAAAATGCTGTAAAAGATACTGTTAAATGATACAATTTTGCCCCCTTCCCATCTCAAATTTCCCTTTCTTAGCAAAATGTTCATTAATACCAGTAACAGAGAAACTAGTTCAAAAGAACAAACAGCCTGAAAAACTTGTCCAGTCAGAATACTGTAATTTTACCAGCCATTTACATGATTATGTGGCATCTCCAAAAAAGATTATGCAAGAGTACATATCTTGGAAATAGACATAATGGAAGTGTTACTTTATAGTGATGGCTAAGTGAAACAGTAAGCTAAATAGGTTTATATCATCTTTCATAGCAATATCCAAACATCTTCCTCAATGTATAAACAATAATTTACACACACATCATGAGCTCCTCCAACTACATCTATACTAGTACATAAACCATCTTGGACCCATTTGATGGTACTGAGGCCACATGGGAGTAAACAGCCCATGTCTATACTGTTAAACACTCATCCAGAAGACAGTGACTCTGCTCTAGAAACATTCCTTAGCTTTGCCTATGCTAACTTCCCTCTGGAAACGCTTTAGGAGAATGCTAGTAGATGAAGACTAAAACTTAAAATACCACTCAAACAATCCAGCAGTGAAGACAACAAAGAATCTGGAAACATTCTCTACTACTGCTTATTTTACCAGTACAGTTATATAGAGCACAATCAATAACCCACAACACAAGTTACAAGAAAAAAAAAAAAATACAAAACCATTTCATTGACTGAAACATTGTCTTATTCAGAATGGTGTGATTGTGACCACACTTAAGGATCTCTGTAATTCAGTAACACTTTGTTTTGGGCTGAATAAAAATCATATTCATACAATAAAACATAAAACAGGGAGACAATAACTTAAAGAAGAAACAGGGAAGGCTAAAGAATGGCTCAAGACCAATGGCTTTCTTTTTTCTTTAAATGCTTTTGTTACTGATATTAAAATACCACTCTTATTTTAGATCCTTGTTTTCTGACTTTGTATCAATCCTAGATGCCCAAAGACAGAGCTGCAGCTACATGTCCTGGGTAGGCAAATCTGCTCCACAAACCCAGCCAGGGCAGCAGAACCACCCGGTTCTGCCTTAACAGAGGGAGGAGCCAGGAGATAGAAGATGCCTTCAGACAGGCACATGTGGCTTGCCTGATGGAAGTTGAGGCCTTGAACTCAATCAATCTAATTCCATCTAGCATACTTCCTGGACAACTAATTATTGATCAAATTCAGATGTCTTTCCATACTCCAGAACCACTTCAACATGGAAGCTATTTACAGGAGGAAAAATTTAAGAATAGGGTATGAAATCTTAACTGCATTCTCTAATAGCACAGATCTAGGCAACAACAACAGTACAACAAACTAATAGCTTTTTAAATAAAAATACTATGTCTCAATGACTCACTCTAGCACTCCACAACTGAATCTTCACACTCCAAGTATAATACATGTGTAATAGGGAGATCTATTCATGCTGATCAATTTACAGCTCTCTAAGTCTGGATGTCAAAGCATCTTCAATACTACTTAGAGCTTAATCATTAAAAATAGCTTTATCCACATAATAAAACTATTGGGGCAAGAGTAGGCATAGTACAGTCTAAGCATTACTTATATATGCGCAAGTGTATACGCTTGTGTATATATAGATCACAAAACAATAGAAGTGAAGGTGTAGGACACTAAGAGGAAGAACTGTATCCAGATCTACAGCAAATTACAATTCTTGCTACTATTAAGTGCTGCTGTGGTTCATTACAGTTGTCGAACAAGACAGAGCTTGGGTATACCTTCTCAGGCTAAAAATCAAACCTCATGGAACAAGTGCTCAACAAAATGAAGTTTACAGAGACACTGGACATAAGAGAATGAAGTTGGAAAATTATATTAGCAGTGATATTTTGAAAGGATAAAACAAGTTGATAGTAAGTCTTCAAAGTGATCATCTCACTTTTCACAGTTTATGGTCCAATTTTAAAAAACATTTAGAGTGCATTTTTACACTGAAAAGGACAAAAAGCTCATGTACCTCCATTGTCAAGATAAAACTAAACAGAAACTACTCTTCTTCAATAATGATTTTTAAAATAGTTCTGTCAATTTCTTCCAACTTCAAAACTCTGAACAGTCAGCCAGCACCTCTTTTTTTTTAATTGGTAATTATTGGTAAAAGGACCTATCAATTCCTTTTATGGAAAAGTTATCAGAAATATTTTCAGTATTTATAAAAGCAATAATGAAGGTCTTTATTTCAAATACATTGAAAATACAGTCAAGAGTAACTTGACCTAACTTGAACAATCAGGACATACTTAATTCTCCACATACATGAAAAGTGTAAGCAACATTTTCTCAGACTGCATAGCTACATTATCCTGAATAGCCATTTAGACAACACAGAATTTTTAAATGGCTAAAGCTTGGTAAAGGCAGCTACATCATAATGAATGCCAACTATTATAATAAAAGTAACAACTGTAATAAGATTCAAATGGGAACAAGCAATATTGGAATTCCCAAACTTTGCCTACTGAAAGGTCCAACATGAGTCAACTTGCAGCAGACTTACAAAACGATGATAATGTCTGCTCTGCTCGGCACTTGCTCACTGAAGGCTGGATACACCCATGGGTAGGGCAACTTTACAGCATAATGACATTTCAGTTAATTACTACTGTATGCATATAGAGCTATGGCTCCCGGTCTTATATCAGAATTTAAACATTTTTCTTTTCCTACCCCTCCAAGTTTTCTAACTTTCAAAGTCAAGAAGAACATGAAAAGGAAAAGATGCATCTGAATGAGAGAGGACTACTGACATCTGCCAACAAGCTCCAGCAGACCAAGAACTGGCCAGGTGTCACCTGAACCTTTGAAGTTTCAGGAATGACTAGTTCCTGGTGATGGTTTAAGATGGTCTGAACACTTTTTCCCTTCTGCAAGAATTTTGATTTTAAAAGTGAGACTTGAGAGTGAACTGCACACAGCCCCTGGCACGATCGTTACCCTTGCCGTACCATCCACTCTGTCATCCAAGTGAGAGGGCACTTACCTCAACTACTAACTACTGTACTGCTACTACCCAGAAGCAAACTACTATCAGATGCAATTCACCAAAGTGCAACTTCATGTCTCAATAAGGTTAGTCACAGATGCAGTTATAAAGATGGTCAAACTGTCAATGCCTGGAAAGACTGTATGGTCTGGATGGATGTCCATCTGTGGTGAGACACAATTTTCTTCTGTCTAGGGACATTCTGCAGCACTTCTATAATGTTTTGCTGTTTATCAGAGAGTACTCGGCACTCCTAATTTTAAATAATCCGTGCACATCTCTGCATTTGGAGATGAAGATAATGCTTGTCAAGTATAGTATTTAAAGATTCCTGCAAAGTTGGGCAGTAACTGTTTCTCTGTATCCTCACTTTACCTTTCCAGCTGTTCTGGGATTTCTGGAGGAGGTCTGTGCTCTGTGGAATCTTATCTGTACCATCGTTAATTGCTACTGTGGAAAATTCAAATCTAAGCATTACTCTCCACGTATTTTTCCCACATTACTTTACTTTTTGTTTAACAGGTTCTATTTCCTCTCCTGTGCCATAAATTGTCGAGAAATAAAGACAACAGCATTAAACCGTCAAATAGCAATAGATCTCATGATTTTATTTAACAAACTCTTAGAAAGCCACCACTTTGTTATTTCTATTACCACAAAATAAAATGAAAGCATGTCCAAAAATAGCCACATGAATTTTTAAAATAGCAAATAGGCAAGTACCTCACAGCGGGTACTTTTTGTGCCAGAACGTCCTTGAAAGAGCCACCTCAAAGACAGAACATTTTAGGCTAAAAAAAAAATAAGTAACCAATCATTATTTCCCTGAGTGCATCCATGACTTGTTAATATTTAAAAATAAAGCTGAGCTGCATATATCACAAAATGTATTTAAATTTTTAGAGTTAATATTATTTTAGAAATAGGAGTATTAAACACAGCCTCAGTGAGAAAGTGAGCTCCCACAAAACATTTGACCACTTCGGTATCTGGCAGTAGCCACTGCTACACATGCAGATGAATAAAAAGACTAGCAACAAAAGTTTTTCATCAACTACGCCCAGCTAGTGGTTGGCTCAGTTATGCCAACATTAACCCTGTATCAGGAAAACATACTCATTATATCAGATGTTAAACTTCAAAGCTAACACTTCCTGAGGGGATCGTCTAGGGAAAGGGTGAGGAAAGAACAGGGAGAAGCTTGAATAGATGCGCTGTAATCTGACCATAGGCAAGAACAAAACACATTAAATGGCTAGTTCTTTTCCCTCCTTCCAATTAGTGTTAAAAAACAGATCAAAGAACTGAATAAACTGTCTAGATAGGGAAGAAATATCTGCAAGCTATACCAAGGAGGTATTATAATCTCTAATAAGGACAATGAAAGACAAGTCATCTAGAGAAGTTAAGCATGTGGACCAGAAACCTAGAGTTTTTAGCAACCCCATTGAAAAAGAATCACTTAGAAAAATACCTGAAAGAAAGATCCATGTAAAACCTCGGGGGGGCGGAGAGCACGCGCGCAAACTGGGTATTTACTTTGCCATATGGCATCGAAGAGTTTGCGATGCAGATCTCTATCACATTGTGATTGAACCCCAAATAGGCCAGCGCTCTAAAGCGGAATGGACTATTTCTCCTGGAAAAACTGGAGATTTTTCAAGTCTGTAAACTGGTGTTTTATCAGAACACACTCTAGAACACTGAAATTTCAAACACAGAATGCAATCTTCTCAGATGAGAAATTAAAATAAAAAAATCTTGGAAGCATATCTAATCCATGGCCTCAGTCTCATTCTCAAGGACCACCAAATTCAGTTTTTTCTCCCGGGAGACAAAAAAATTGCACATGATCCCTGGGTCCCAATAAAGGCACCTTCTTTCTGCCATTGAGACTCAATGATTTAAACAAGATACTATTCCATTTAAACTATCTCCATAAAGTCTGACTCTACCCAGGACAAAATACACTAATCGCGGTTCTCAGAAGTTCAACTGTCATTCCTAAATTCTTGTTTTCCATACTTGCAATCTGATGGACATACAGTGGCACACAGCTACAGCTGTTTAAGTTCCTGTCCACAGCTGTGTCCCCTACCATTTTGCAGTCCCCTAACAGCTCGTGGAAGAATGCAACAAATACCCACAGCACAACAGCTCCAGTTCACAATCCACGTACAAACCCATCATGGCTGGCAGGATAAAATAAGTCACTGGACCACAAACTGCAGCAGCTGAGCCACAAGCACACATACCTTCTCTGTCCCAGCAGAGAGAATCCTTGGCAGGAAGGACAGGTAAACAGCAACTGGGGTACTAAACCACTCATGTTGTTTGTGAGTTATGAATGACCAGAAGTCTGCTTGATTTAGTATTACAAACCATGACGGTCAAGAACACAATGATCACTTAGCTTAAGCTACTTGGCTTACAGAAACGGAAGTTTTAGAACTTAGTATTAGTTATACTGCTCTGTAACCTCTTTGCTTTGATTGTGTTCTTCCGGAAGCATTAAGGATCATCTTATTTATCTTTCAACATACAAGAGAAGTTCAATAATGAAATTTAAGAGATTCCTTTACTGCTGTACAAAGTCCAAGTCCACTACAGAGTAATGAGCACAGGGCTTCACACAAGGTGTTTAAGGTAGCAAAATGGGGAAAACCCCTAGTAAACAAATAATTTAAAAAGCATCATTTTAATTTGATCTTTAAAAAAATATTTTTATTTTATCTTGACCAAAATGTTACGGTTTGAGTGATTACAGCAACCAGGAAAATTAAATTGAAGTAACTCTAAATGCATGGTAACTTTACATGTGGTAATTCATTCTCCTATCACAGTACAGTTACACACACGGAGGTGTATATATTGTATGTGTAAGTGGTTAATAGAGAAACCAGTACTGAATACATCTTTGGAGGTAATTATTTATGGGAGCAGTTTAGTGAAATGTATACTCTGCTTGCTTAATCCAACGTTAACAGGCAAGTAGAAAACAAACAGTTTAGTAAAAGCACCAGGTGGAAAGTTAAATTTGAGGGACTTCATGGATGAGAAATAAATGGGCAGAAGCCCTGAAGAGCAGAGAGGAGCCTCCATTGCTGGGGAAGGGGAAAGAAGACAGATTCAGGGAAGGTACAGCACCACAAAGTTTGAAGTTTTATGCAGAATGACTAAGCTAAACTTTTTTAATTAAAAAGCAAATGCGAAGTTCTTACTACACAAGTTTCAGAAAATTTACATTACCATAACACACAATTGCCTCAAGCTTCAGATCAAAATGTGAAATAACTGCCTTATTTCAATACATAATATTAACTCTTCTCTTTTACATTATCACAATAAAGATAATACGAATTTATGGTTTAATTTCACCTGGAGTGAAAGACCCGCCACATCCTCCTAAGGTTCTTCAGCACCTTCATATTCACTC